CGTATAGAATTGCTTTTTGAAATTGAAATTTTGTCTAATTGATTTACTATATTGTGTAGAAATCCTGTAAATGATATCTGAATCAATTCCATAACGAATGTGCAAACTGAATAGAGACAAGTGTTTTTGTATAATTCAGTATTCATATAAAAGTATTTGTTTCGAAAGTATTTTTCTTTCATGTAATTCAATGATTTTATGAAAGTAGCTGTTTTAGGAGGGCTTTTTCTTCAAGTTTATGTCTGAAAGTTATTTCTTTGCAATATCTACACATCTGTGTATAGAATTCCTTTTTTTGAAATTGATTGCTTCCTTTCTTTGGAAGATTTCCACATTTTTTGTATGAAGATGGAGAAGTAGAAAGCCAAAACCTTTCTTTCCCGAAATGATATTACTTCATACTCAGTAAGTCATGAATTCTCGTGAGTTATACACTGTTTTAAAAACAAATTCTACCATTCACATTATAATATTTGAATGTTTATGACAAAGATTTCAATGTAGAGATGGAGAAAAAATGTATTCTTAGATGTTGATAATATATTCAGGATGGACCCTTTTCAAATGATCATTGCCTAGTTTGAAACCTGCATGCTCAAAAAATCAATCAACATTATGGAGACAGAGATATTGTATGAAATGCCTGGCCATCTAGATGGCGATCTCTACCAACATCAATGGGTTCGATTGAGTATGCTGTGGGAAACAATTGTGAGTATAAATAATATACTTATCTGTTCTTCATAATTATATTTGCCAAACTTAGTATATCTCAATTTATTGCTAACCAAAATTACACACAGCAAGCTTTGTCATATCTTTTTTGAAAAGTATTTCAATCCTGCAGGCTAGGTAGGCTACGCAAGACGCGATTAGGCTACGCAAGATGGGATTATATTTATTATAAACATACATTGATTTTTTATTTTGTTCAGTTAAATAAATGAAAAATAGCTTTTCTTGTTTTGTTTCGTGATATTCCTACATTCATGTCTCATTTATAGTATCAGCAACGTGGATCTTTATTAGCATAACAGGTAACAGTGAAATTTGTAAATTTCCATCAAATGAACAATTGAACGACAATTGAAAAAAAATCACTCGAAAATATATTAACTGAAAATAATGTTCGATAGGAAACTGTTCATCATTAGGTCAAATTAAAGGTATATTTATCTGTCCTAATTCAAACAACAAAATTAGCATAAAATAATAATTTGAATATTTAGTTATGTGAAGTACCTAGTAATGATTCGAGGGATAAATTAATTAGTTTCATTTATATTTCATACATCCATTTTTTAATATTGAAATTCAATTATGAAAACATTCAATTGAGCATTGAAAAAGAAGGTATTTTGGTTAGTTATCAAAAAAGAAACAAGACATTTATTTGAAATTGGAAATAACATTGAGATCTAATGCCTAATGTTTTGTTTTACTACCTGCAAAACATTTTTCATTGCTATTACAATTATTATATTTTTTGTTAGTACGCTGATTGGTGACAATCTACAAAATAAATTAAACCGTAATTTTTTAATTATTAGTATTTTATTTTTCAATTATGAACACGTCCTTCGGAGGATTTAGGAAAACCCGAGTTCGTTCTGAGTGGAATCCTTCTTATAGTGTATAAAGAAAGAGTTTTCCATCTCTCTTGCAATGCTCTATATTCATTAGTCATTGTGAAAGTTCACTAATGGGACTAGTGATTCTGCTTTGTAAGGAGTCGAGAAATTTCGTAATGTGTTTGGATGTTGAGCCCTGCTCAAGTGGAGAGTGTGTCGTTTTGTGCTGTGAAGACTGACAAAAAATGACTCGTATGATAAGAGTTTCAACAAATATTTTCTCCTGAACATCTTTCTTGTTTTTTGAGGCGTAGATGGAGAATCTTGTTGAATTCCACAGGCTCGGTGATACAGTCTTTGTTGACTTTTTGAAACATGGTTACCTATCCCAATTCTATTTTGAAATAATCGTTTTGAAACTTCAAGCATAAACTGACAGTTACTTCTAAATTAAAACCATTTTATACTCTAACCTATTGCCTACTAGTATGCCAAGTCTATAAAGGGATTTTTTTAGACCAGAATGCTGTTCTACCTGGAATGACTATTTTTTGCGTCCTTTGAAACATTTAAAACTGTTGATTGGATATAATAAAATTTAGTTCCCGGCTGACAAATCCCCACAGAACCCCACAGAGTCATGAATACTGCTCAACATGCCGTAAAGAAGTGAAAGGACTTTGGACAGGAGTAGGTCACTCTATAAAGGTTTATTTAAGTTTATTTAAGTATTTGGGGAAACCCAAAGAATTGGTATAGAACTAGAACAGAAAATGAGTTAGTCAGAAATATATAGAATACTTGGAAAATGTACTCATGAAGATATGTGCGAAGACTTTTGTGAAGGGCCGTTTAAGAAAAGATCTGAAAAACTACTTCGACAAAACAGATCTGTGCTCGGAATAATTACAGACTCAATAACTGGACTCTGAATGTGAGGCATTAGACCACACTAGGCAACTAACGTGTGCACAACCAAAATTAATAAGCGCAGAAGAATTCAAAGAACTGTGCAAACTAGTACAGGGGACAAGAACATTGGAATAGGTGTCATGGAAATATTGGAAAAAACGCAATATAATTTAATAGCTTTATAATAATAATAATAATAGCTTTATTGCCCAACAGTTACCCATTTACAGGACAATATAAAATTTTATTCACAATACTATTGTTCACAAATGAACAAAAAAGAAAAACTAATTCTAATTACCTACTTCAAGTACATCTTAGCAATTCTAATAATGTTATGAAGGTTAGTGAAGAATAAATTACCATGGGCACAAATGCTATTGAAATTTGTGCACATAACATATATTGGGGAATTGAGCATAATGTTAGTTCTTGCTCTGAGAGGTCTAAAAATGGATTGAGATCGTGAAGCTGGCCGTGGTACATTGAAGTTAATTTGTTCAAGAATTTTAGGACAGTCAACTCTTTCATTCACTAACTTGAATACAAATATGAGCGACGCACATTTTCTGCGATGCTCTAAACTAAAAAGTTCCAAACGTTCATATATGACATCATTACTGATACCTCTCTCAGGGCAAGAACCATCTATTCAGAAAATTAGAAATTTACAAAACTTTCTTTGTACTCTTGCAATGGCTATGTTATGAATCTCATAGAATGGACTCCAGACGATACTTGCATATTCTATCTTCGAACGTATATAGGTGAAATACAACAGCTTCATGGCTTCAATATTATGAAAGTTTCTGCAATTTCTAACAATGAAACCATAAGCTCTGAAAGATTCTGAAACCTTTTGTGAAATATGTCTACCAAATGTTAATTTATGATCGAATATTACCCCTAGGTCTGATCTGAATCCTGTACTACATAAGGGAATGTATAAACCTCTTTTTTACGACTATAACTCACTACTTTACATTTCTCCAACATTGAGTTTCAATTTATTATTGCTACACCAAGCAACAAGAAATTGTAATTGAGATTGAAGATTTACACAATCACCTACTTCCTTAATTATTGAAAATAATTTCAAGTCATCCGCGAAGCATAACCGCTCACAAGCTAAACTTTCACATAAGTCATTAATAAACAATAAAAACAAAAGAGGACCTAGGTTGGAGCCCTGAGGCACACCAGAAGAAGCTATATATGTTATAGATTTATAACCGTTATAGGACACGAATTGTTTTCTACATGTCAGATAGGATTGCATCAGCTGACAAGTAGTATTTGAAAATCCAAAACTTATCAGTTTATTGAGCAAGATTCCATGATCAATTTTATCAAATGCTTTAGAGAAATCCATGTATATAACATCAACTTGGCCATTGTTATCTAATGCCTCGGAAATGAATTGAGTAATAATGACTAGATTTGTAACAGTAGAACGCTTAGTAACAAATCCATGTTGATGTTGAGATAATTGCCATTGAACTGAAGCATATATGCGATTATATAAAATAATCTCAGAAATTTTAGAAAACATACATAAAATAGATATGGGTCTGTAATTCTTTATATATAATTTTTCACCACTTTTGTATACAGGACATACTTTAGCTAATTTTCAAATATCTGGGAATGTTCCAGATATCAGACATGAGTAAAAAATTGACGTTAAAGGTTTTGCCAACGCTCCTGCACAATCCTTCAACAAAAATGATGGGATCATATCTGGGCCTGATGTCAGTTTGTCCTTTGGTTTTTTAGTTGCAGATTCAACCTCATTTTCTTGAATGGGGTAAAAATGAATATGAACATTATTATTCACTGTACCAACTTTGTTCAAAAGTGAGCCAAATTTTGAATACACCTCACTGAAAAAATTACTGAAGGCATCAACAATAACTTGAGGATTCTTGAGTTCGTTTCCTAAGTAGGTTACTGATCCTGGTATTCTTGTGCTGTTATTCTTAGAGTGAACATAAGACCAGAATCTGCTAGGATCTCTAGACAACATTGTTTGTATGTTTGCAAGATAATTATCATGTGCGGTTTTTATTTGGCTTTTAATCAAAGCACGCAAACGTTGGAATTCAAATCAATATGCTCATGATATAGCGATTTTTCCGTAAACTTGAAAGACTTGGACAAAACGAATAGCTCTCTAGCAGAAAAACGTCTTTGGCACGGTATCGAGCTATATTCATACAGAACGGGCATCTGGTGGAGAGGCAGCGCGAATGCAGCGCGGACTTTTGTCGCTTCTAGGTCTCTTGCTAGCAAGCAAATAGTTCAATTCGCACAGAAGCGACGTAGCACGTCCTCTCCTATTGAAAGTAACATAATGAAAATATAAATTATATTCACATTCGGATAGGAACAGAAATCGCCAACCCAATTAAAATTTACAACAAATGATAAGTTCACGAAGGTCATCGGCGTTGAAAGCTCTAGTCAGCGTTATCGTCACCAATATTTCCCATTAGTATGGAATTGTACCTCGATAATATTGGAAAAAAATCAGAGAGCAGTTCACCAGTCTGAGGTTTACTACGGTCCGCGCGAGTTCGATTGATGAATGGATGATAATGGTGGTTATTTTTGGTAATTTTCTGCTACATTTTGCGGTTGTGTTTTTAGTTCAATACTGTGTGTGTGTGTGTGTGTGTTCATATTTAGTAAAGATCAAGTGAAGTGATAAGAAACGATATTTTCTGATAAGAAATTTTCATTTTGTGACGTGTAATGATCTAACTCGCTCATCTAACTGTCTCCAAAATGCAGTTGATTAACGAACTTACTGTGAGTATTTTTCCATTAGTCATGGGGGTCCCTTGGAATTTGTAAAATGTTTTTGTTAAAATTACAGAAAGAGTGAGTTATTTTCTGTGACACTTTGAGAATAGTTCACTGGTGAAATATGGCCAAATGTCTAAATTAACAAGAACGAAATGATATATTATTTTATTGGGTTCGTATTTCTGAAAATATCTTAATTTTATAAACATTCAACATCTACAAACAATTGAACACATTTTGACTCTTAACCAGTTGGTACAGGTTCTCTGTTGTATTTTTCTCTTTTTCTTCTGAACGTGTATGTACAGAACACATTCGTATAAAACTCTGCTCTTTTGTTACATTGCTTTCAACTGAGCAGATCTATTTTGTTCAGTAACAGTTATTGATAGAAGCAGTAAATATCAATTTCTAATAATCAAAAGATGTAACTCAATGGAATCATAGTAATTTCTTTATTTATCGAACTTTATGCATTATTATTTTTCGTCTGAAGACAAAATTATTTATTTTTATGCACGATTATATAATTGCAATAAGTTTCTTTTCTGTTTACTTATACTTAATATCAGTTATGAGAAAAAAATGTCAGTTGCAAAATATACTGGTTTGTCTTGAATCAGTTTTTCACTAGGATAGATCCAAAGTGAGTGGGTCTATTATGTGGCAGGGAGACGCTATAGCTGCAGAAAATTAACTGCACCCACCAATCAGGAGAAGCTCTCCCGATCCTCCTTTACATGTAGCCATCGAAGATCGAATATGCAGCTCTGGAACTACCTGTGGAACATTTTCTGAAAAAGATTCCTGTTGACTATTCGATATTGAGGTTCAAGGTGCAAGATTTCCGCCTTAGCGATAGCAGCTCTCTTCTTCTTCAAGGGCATATGCTTCAGCTACACCTGATTAGATTCAGACATGTAAAAGGTTTTTTCTCTGATCAGAGAGAATCATCGTTTCAGCGTAATTTTTTGCAGATAAAGTAAGTTTGATCCGAACTCTAGGCCGTACACCACACACTTCACTAAATGAACTTAACAGAATGAGAAGAATTGAGTAGCAAAATTAGAAACTAAAAACATGGAAACAAAATAAGTGATTTTTTTTGTTGAACGGTTTTAATGAAAAACAAATATAATAATGATGTAGCTAATGTTGATAAGCTAAAAAATAATTCGGATGGTCCTAGGTAGCAGTCCGTGTTAGGAATCACACTTTAAAAGGTAAGACCTCGTTAATCCTTAGCTCGCACAAGTTTCGACTTCTGAGGGTTGTCGTTCGTAGGGGTTGTCGTAGGGGTGCGACAGCTGGTTAACGGAAAAACAGATTTTAAACAGATTTTTTTTAAACAGTCATCACACCACTCTCCTCAGCAATCTACGATATTGACCAGATAAGAAAATAATGAAATAGTTGGGCATAGTATTTACATATTTACTCAGGTTATGCTACACCCAACGATTTTATTATTGTTTCATCAGATTAATAACGTACATTGTTGAGGAGAGTGGTGTGATGACTGCTGCCTAGAACCTTCCGAATTATTTTTTAGTTTTTAGTACATTATTCACATCATTATTATTATTTTTTTCAGTAAAACCGTTTAACATACATTTTTTTTACTTTTTTTTTTCGAAGATAATGTGAGGTTTCGTTGGCATTTCGATTTACGATTGTCCACGTACAAATTTTAAAAGTTTGATTGCAGGTCTAGAAGTCAAAACAGTTGAAATTCCCAAATTTTCATTCAATGTAAAATATTTGCAAATACAGATCAATCAAAAATTGTGAGATAATGACTTCTGACAGGACTGAAAGAAAATTATCATCTATCAGTGGACCAGATGGAATCCTGTAAAAACGACCTCATCTGCAAACAATATCTTATAGCTGTTCGGTAATCGTTCTGCGAACACTGTGTATAAACAAGCTGATAGAATTGTTACGTCTGTTTAGATAACCCGATAGCATTCACATGACATATTCAAACCAGAACTGATAGTAATCATCTATGAAGTCCACATAATCTAGTTATCACAGTTTGAACACACTCGTATATATCAGAACATGGTTAGTATCGAAAAACCTTTCTTACAAACATATTGGCAAATAGCCTGACGAGAGTTCGAAGTTTCTACATACGTCGTATCTATCTTTCATCGAGAATAAATGATATATCTCAACGTATTTCGTATGCACAGTGAAGTTCTCGACCCGACTGAAAGTGAATGGGAAATGAGTTTGGTAAGAATTAATAAGTCTGTACATACTACCTATATTTAAATTGAAAATTTTGCGTCGTACCCATAAAAGGTGATGTCATCCTGTGGCTCATCGTTAATCGACGAGTCGATTTTCGAAATCAAATAAGCTATTACAAACTCTCGTGTGTGTAGATTAATTAGATAAAGTTGAAAACAAATCCTACATGATTCAAGGGAGGTAAATATTAGAGATATCCGAAATTTGAAAAAAAAAATCCATAAGGAGGGGAAAATTTCCTAAAAAAAAGTCCCACCTTCCGAAACTTATATCACCAATATTTATAATTTTAATTTAGAGGCAAAAGTAGCGCTAAAAACGAACGATGCGCGTCCCGCACTGGCTGACCGATACGGTCGGCGATTTTGTTTTAAAAAATCAAAGTATTCATCACTGATGAAAATCCCCCCAAAAAATTTCAAATATATTATATACAATACAATTGTTTACAACAATTTTTTGAACAAGTAGAGCTAAAAATTATGAAACATCATTTTTATGTAACTTTAAATAATAAGAATACGAATAAATTGAATATTGATAAAACTTTGATTGAACTTTTCACTTTTTAACGTTTTCGATTATTAATAACAAAGTGGAAAATAAAAATGGGAATAACTTGTATTGCTCAAAGGTCCGTATCGGTCAGCGCGTGCGGGACGCGCATTGCCCGCTTTTAGCGCTATTTTCGCCTCTAAATAACAAAGTGGAAAATAAAAATGGGAATAACTTGTATTGCTCAAAGGTCAGTATGGGTCAGCGCGTGCGGGACGCGCATTGCCCGCTTTTAGCGCTATTTCCGCCTCTAAATTAAAATTAAAAATATTGGTGATAGAGTTCAGAGAGGTGGGACCTTTTTTAGTAAATTTCCTCCCCCTCCCCATTGAGGATATTTTATCAAAGTTCGGTTATCTTCAATATTTTCCGAGATATTGGCAAAAAACCAAACCACTCTTTCTTTACTATTGTTTGTTTGTTTATAACTTTTGCAATTTTCTCGAGCCCCTCAGAAAGTTGCTAGAGGTCATTCTGAATCGAATAAGCCCTGGATCATAATTTTCGGTGCCCTTGGTCAGAAGTTCCAAAAAAAAGATCATGTTACCCAGACCATGTGGAATCGTAATCCTGTTATTTTTTTCAGAAATTCTAATAACTCAATAGATATAGGTAGATAATAATAATATGTATTCAGTGACTTAAAAACAGTGTTGGTATATAATGGACCTTGACATTTCAGCCAATGAGAAGCAAAACAATTGAAATCCTTGAATGATACGAAACACTTCAACTTTCCAAAATCTTTTTCGATATTTTGATCTTTTATAATTTCACAAAAAAAAAATAACTACTCGCGCCGTATCTGTCTGAACGCGATAAACTAAAAAACTACCGAACGGATTTCCCTATGGATTCAAGAGGAAGGTTTATGTGTATACTTTACTCAAGTTTTTATGCGAATTAATTGAAATATGATGATTTTTTCCATGAGAAGTCGTGGTGGTGATGCTACCCGTGCGTGCTTTCATTGAATACGCTGCTTAATCCCTCTAAAATATAACAAAATAATACACTACTTGTTGTTGTTTTTTAAAGGTTTGCGATGGCATATGTCTTTATTTTGAAGATATGTCAGTATTTGAAATAATGGTCACACATAATGTGTACAGCTTGTCAAATCTAGGAAGTGACTTGAAAATTATCTATCCCTATTATTCCTTATCAAATAAATACTGAACCATTTCATTTACATCACAAGTGAAATGAAAACCCATTCCAAAATTAAAATTAATGATTTTGAACAAATTTTTAAGTGAACTTTAGGTCATCATTATTAGTTACTATAGCAGGGGTACCCACAGCTTCACTCAGGAAGTTGATATGACACTAAGTGGCAGTTGGAATGAAAACATGAATTATAAGGGGTCGACGAATATTGCTTTATATACCCCTACCAATGGGTAGCCTCACTCTTGGAATTCCAATGGCCTGGGATATTCCCGAACGGTCTAGACTATTTCCGAACATTTTACAATATTCCGACATAATGGATTGTTCTAGAAATTTCTAGAGAGGGGAACAAGTAAAAAGGAAAACTCTTGATCGTTCAACAGAGATCTGAAATGTTCCAGACTATTCCAGAATATACCAGCGTGTTCTGGACATTTTTAGAGGTCAAAATTTCCACACTTCATATCTTCAAAAGCATGCCATTCAGGTAAAATCGGGAATCTTCTTCATGGATAGAGGATAGAGGGTTTGTATAACATATATATACATATAACATATAACTCCCTATTCCGCCGGGATATTCCAAACGTTTCAGATCATTCCCGCGAACATTCAAGAATGCTCCAAGATGTTCTGGAATGTTCTAGAACCTTCTGCAAAGTCAAATAACAGCCCTTATATGTATTTTCAACAGCACTTCAGGTTGAAATGGTAACCTTATTCATGGACAAGGTAATGTGCTAAACAGAAAATTTAGCATATACGTTGTGCTAGTTGTGCGAAGCCTGCTCGAATCGCTAGTTGAAATTAAAAACTCTTATAGGTCAACAATGATCACTTACTATATAAGTATCAATATAGGTACGTTTTTAAAGAAATTTTTATGTAATTGTATCTGTATTGAACAGATTTTCTTGTAACGGTTCAAAAATGCAACACATATTTTACCCTAATAGGGCTTCTTCAGAGGTATCTAATGTCGTATTTCCCCTATTTCAAAAAAACTAAATGTT